AAAATCGGTGGGAAAATGGGGAAAATATGAAATAAAATGTGGACTAGAAGGGAAAATAAAGGGTTAAATGAAGTTTGGTTTTTTGGGAAGAAAAACAGGGATTTTGGGAAAAAAAATTTGGGGAAAATCAGTGTAAAAATGGGGAAAATCGGTGGAAAAATGGGGAAAATAGGAGGGAAAAGGGGGAAATGGAAGGGAAAATAAAGGGTTAAATGAGGTTTGTTGTTTTGGGGAGAAAAACGGGGATTTTGGGAAAAAACGTAAAAAATTTGGGGAGAAACGGTGGAAAAATGGGGAAAATCGGTGGAAAAACGGCGAAAATCGGTGGAAAAATGGGGAAAATATGAAATAAAATGTGGACTAGAAGGGAAAATAAAGGGTTAAATGAAGTTTGTTGTTTTGGGGAGAAAAATGGGGATTTTGGGAAAAAAATGTGGGGAGAAACGGTGAAAAAATGGGGAAAATCGGTGGAAAAATGGGGAAAATATGAAATAAAATGTGGACTAGAAGGGAAAATAAAGGGTTAAATGACGTTTGTCCTCTTGGGGATCACCTTTTGGGGTGAAAAATGGGGATTTTGGGAAAAAATGTCAAAAATTTGGCAAGAAATGGTGAAAAAATGGTGAAAATCGGTGGAAAAATGGGGAAAATAGGTGGGAAAATGGGGAAATAGCACGGAAAATAAAGGGTTAAATGAAGTTTGTTTTTTTGGGGAGAAAAACGGGAATTTTGGGAAAAAATGTAAAAAATTTGGGGAGAAATGGTGGAAAAATGGGGAAAATCGGTGGAAAAATGGGGAAAATCGGTGGAAAAACGGGGAAAATAGGAGGGAAAATGGGGAAATGGAAGGGAAAACAAAGGGTTAAATGAAGTTTGTTGTTTTGGGGAGAAAAACGGGAATTTTGGGAAAAAACGGAAAAAATTTGGGGAGAAACGGTGAAAAAATGGGGAAAATCGGTGGGAAAACGGGGAAAATCGGTGGAAAAATGGGGAAAATAGGAGGGAAAATGGGAAATAGCACAGAAAATAAAGGGTTAAATGAAGTTTGTTGTTTTGGGGAGAAAAACGGGAATTTTGGGAAAAAAATGTAAAAAATGTGGGGAGAAACGGTGAAAAAATGGCGAAAATCGGTGGAAAAATGGGGAAAATAGGAGGGAAAAAGGGGAAATGGAAGGGAAAATAAAGGGTTAAATGAGGTTTGTCCTCTTGGGGATCACCTTTTGGGGAGAAAAACAGGGATTTTGGGAAAAAACGGAAAAAATTTGGGGAGAAATGGTGGAAAAATGACGAAAATCGGTGGAAAAATGGGGAAAATCGGTGGGAAAATGGGGAAAATATGAAATAAAATGTGGACTAGAAGGGAAAATAAAGGGTTAAATGAGGTTTGTCCTCTTGGGGATCACATTTTGGGGTGAAAAAATGGGATTTTGGGAAAAAACGTAAAAAATTTGGCAAGAAATGGTGAAAAAATGGTGAAAATCGGTGGAAAAATGGGGAAAATAGGAGGGAAAATGGGGAATAGAAGGGAAAATAAAGGGTTAAATGAAGTTTGTTGTTTTGGGGAGAAAAATGGGAATTTTGGGAAAAAAATGGAAAAAATTTGGGGGGAAAAGATGAAAATTTCGGAAAAATCGGTGGAAAAATGGCAAAAATCGGTGGAAAAATGGGGAAAAATAGGGAAAATGAGGAAAATTGAGAAAATGATGGAAA